TTTTGAATTGATGTATCCGGGACGACTCGTAATCTGATATCCATCGCCATTTTTGTGAGGCAGTTACAGTGCTGTCAACATGTAGCAGGTGGATTGTGATGATAATTTTTTTCACACTGTTTTGACTTTAGCTCTCAGTATCAGGGCTGTTATTCCGTGTTTGATGGTCATCGAGTGCCAGTGCCTGAAATGGAATGAGAACTATTCCGTAATTCGGTGAGATCAAATAAGGTGAAAGTTGCACGACGGCACATCAAACATAGAATAAATACATCGAGAGTGAATGTTAAAGTCAAAAAGGGAAGCTCAAGATGAAGTAAAGTGGGAAACAAAGCGAAAAACCTGAAACATCAAAGGAAAGCAATTGAGGTACTGTAGAGTTGGAATGCGCTTATAACCGTAGTGCGTTACACTGCCTCGTAGCGCTGTAACGCGCTGTACAGCACGGCGACGCGCTATAACGCGCGACGTCGCGAATTCTCAGAGTTGCATGACTTACGAGACATTGCGCTGTCAGCTTCTACACGATTCCCCTGCTTCCATGGAATTGGGTGACATTGAAAGATCCCCACAACAAGAGTTTGCGTGTCTTGAGTACGAGGATATGAAGGCGGCTGTGGGACGTGCAAACAGTCCATATCGATTAAGCGGACTTGGAAAACGTATGAGGGGAACGAATATTTTCCAAGTACATTCACAACTCGGCCGTGTTCCAATTTCTACGTGCACTTCCAAAACCTGCTATTATCTCTTAGTATCAAGTTGTTTTTATACGTCTATGCATAACCTCTCTTGATTCCTATACTGAACACATCTACTATCTTATTCCACCTGTCTGTACATAGCCTCCTATACAAAAACAGTCACACACGTTCAACAAAAGAAAACTTTATTTTCTAGAACGAGAACAAAAACTTTAAAAACTGCTAAAAGAATTTGTGAAAATCCGCCATAAAAATGTGACACGCGAGTCAGTTCCCATATTCCTTTTTGACACAACGCTGCAAAGGTTCGCTACTTCATATGTTCTCGTTTCAATTCATTGCACTTATGAACTCTCCTAAAATTTGAGCACAGATTCATGAACGAGTTTAATATGCATCCGACTCTTTAGAAGTTGATCTGCATCGAGACTAGTAAAGAGAAGATTACAGCTTCGACATAAATTGGTGCAAGTCTTTCAAAAGAAATTCGAGCACCTAGCGTATCTGATGCGAAATTTACCTGCGTAAGGGTAAATGAAGATTGTGCCCTACTGTTAGAAAATCCCACACGCATCCCATCTTCCCATAACGCCTTTTTTCCACAGTATTCTTTTTTGGTCTCCATTCACTTACATGACAGAAAATTCTGCTGTGCAAGCACAACTGTGAACTCTCCGTTATGAAATCCTTCAAGTTATCGAAAATATCCAAAGACGCACAACCCGTCTCTCCAAACGTCACTTTCCACTGCAGCAGTTTCATTCCCTGCATCTCATTGTTGATTGTTTCTCGTTTTCTTGGTTCGACACATATTAGGTTGGCGGGAAAGTTTGGTCACTTATTTTCGAACTCAAATTACTTGCTCATTAGCAAGAGAGGTAATCGGTAATGTAAGCTCTTGTACAACAAGGAGTGGTCTCTCTGTCAGTACCACTCGCTTGCCTCTTGCTCCTTCTTCTGCAATATGCACAAGGATTTTATCCGCTACCATCAGCCCCGACCCATCCAACAACTTCCACAAACTATTTCACCTACCACCCTGACACCAGCGTGTTAGCTGCAGATGCCAAATTGTTGGAGCTGAATAAGCACGATGCCCCCAACCATCGAGCAACCTTACCACGACAGTGACTCTTCAAGGCGGGTGCCTAGGGAGCCTACAGTTTTGAGGACGAAGTGAGGTTTGGGTTACCTGCAAACTCAGCTTGAGGGAGCTATGGGTTGGGAAACTGCTGGATGAAGATGCTGCTTCCTTGACCAAGATGTACGCAAAGCAGCTACGAGATCTAAGGCGTATCGTGGATCAGAGGGAAAAATTTGTCTGCACAGCCGGCCCTCACCAAGAGAGTGGAACACACTTGGTCCAAAAAAGTTCGAGCCGTACCTCATGCAATGGAGCTTGATCTCTCCCCTTGCACTTGTGTAGCACAGACATCGCCCCTTCTAATAGCAAGTTGTCTTACGTAATCGATCGTTATGCGGACGAGAAAACCTCCATAACCCAAGTTCAAGTCGAAGTTGAGATGGTGTTCAACTTTGTCGTGTCTCCCTGCATAGTGAAGCGATGGCATCCATGAGGTGCTCAAACAGTGACAAGGACCCCGCAGTTACACTGCTGCACAATTTTGATCTTACACTCCTCTCTATAAAAAGAAAGCCTAGTTTGAAAAAATGTGACAGAACTTTCCCGCCAACCTAATACTTTGTGCCTTTTCTATTCTCTTACCCATACTTCATACCATTTATTCAAGGTGAAACAAAACAGATATTCCCAGTCATGATTAACCGTGTACAGAAAGTTGCCCCGACTCCGAATGGAAGTATTTTCCGAAAGAAAATAACAATTATCAGTTTTGATTCTTTTTTTGCCTCCCACTACACCCTCTTTTGCATATTATTGCTAAAATAACGATTTTCAGAATACGAAGGAGTGGCCATTCGCTGCAAGACAAACCATATTTTGAAAGAACGAGATAAAAGTGTTTAAAGTTGTCCCGACTCCGAATGGAAGTATTTTGGCGAAAGGAAAATAATAACTATCAGTTTTGATTTCTTTTTTGCTCCCACTCCACCCTCTTTTTGCATATTATTGCGAGAATAACGATTTTCACAATACGAAGGAGTGGCCATTCGCTAAACAAAACAAATTTTGAAAAGAACGAGATAAAAGTGTTTAAAGTTGTCCCGACTCCGAATGGAAGTATTTGCGAAAGAGAAATAACAATATCGGTTTTGATTTCTTTTTGCCTCCCACTTCCACCCTCTTTTGCATATTATTGCGAGAATAACGATTTTCAGAATACGAAGGAGTGGCCATTCGCTAAACAAAACAAATTTTGAAAAGACGAGATAAAAACTGTTTTAAAGTTGTCCGCGAACCTGGAGTATTTTGCGAAAAGAAAAATAACAATTATCAGTTTTGATTTCTTTTTTTTGCCTCCCACTCACACCGCTCTTTTGGCATATTATTGCTAAAATAACGATTTTCAGAATACGAAGGAGTGGTCATTCGCTAAACAAAATATTTTGAAAAGACGAGATAAAAGTGTTTAAGTTGTCCCGACTCCGAATGAAGTATTTTGCGAAAGGAAAATAATAACTATCAGTTTTGATTTCTTTTTTTGCCTCCCACTCCACCCTCTTTTTGCATATTATTGCGAGAATAACGATTTTCACAAATACGAAGGAGTGGCCATTCGCTAAACAAAACAAATTTCGAAAAAGACGAGATAAAAGTTTAAAGTTGTCCCGACTCCAAATGGAAGTATTTGCGAAAAGAGAAATAACAATTATCGTTTTGATTTCTTTTTGCCTCCCACTCCACCTCTTTTTGCATATTATTGCGAGAATAACGATTTTCAGAATACGAAGGAGTGGCCATTCGCTAAACAAAACAAATTTTGAAAAGACGAGATAAAAACTATTTTAAAGTTGTCCCGACCGTGAGTATTTTGCGAAAAGAAAAATAACAATTATCAGTTTTGATTTTCTTTTTTTTGGCCTCCCACTACACCCTCTTTTGCATATTATTGCGAGAATATAACGATTTTCAGAATACGAAGGAGTGGCCATTCGCTAAAAAAAACATATTTTGAAAAGACGAGATAAAAACTATTTAAAGTTGTCCCGACCCTGGAGTATTTTGCAAAAAGAAAAATAAAATTATCAGTTTTGATTTCTTTTTTTTTGCCTCCCACTACACCCCTCTTTTGCATATTATTGCTAAATAAACGATTTCAGAATACGAAGAGTGGTCCATTCGCTAAACAAAACCATATTTGAAAAGACGAGTATAAAGTGTTAAAGTTGTCCCGACTCCGAATGGAAGTATTTTGGCGAAAGGAAATAATAACTATCAGTTTTGATTTCTTTTTTGCCTCCCACTCCACCCTCTTTTGCATATTATTGCGAGAATAACGATTTTCAGAATACGAAGGAGTGGCCATTCCGCTAAACAAAACAAATTTTGAAAAGACGAGATAAAAATGTTTAAAGTTGTCCCGACTCCGAATGGAAGTATTTGCGAAAGAGAAAATAACAATTATCAGTTTTGATTTCTTTTTTTGCCTCCCACTCCACCCTCTTTTTGCATATTATTGCGAGAATAACGATTTTCAGAATACGAAGGAGTGGCCATTCGCTAAACAAAACAATTTTGAAAAGACGAGATAAAAACTATTTTAAAGTTGTCCCGACTCCTGGATATTTTGCGAAAAGAAAAATAACAATTATCAGTTTTGATTTCTTTTTTTGCCTCCCACTACACCCTCTTTTGCATATTATTGCTAGAATAACGATTTTCAGAATACGAAGGAGTGGCCATTCGCTAAACAAAACATATTTTGAAAAGACGAGATAAAAACTATTTTAAAGTTGTCCCGACATCTGGAGTATTTTGCGAAAAAGAAAAATACAATTATCAGTTTTGATTTCTTTTTTTTGCCTCCCACTACACCCTCTTTTGCATATTATTGCTAAAATAACGATTTTCAGAATACGAAGGAGTGGTCATTCGCTAAACAAACCATATTTTGAAAAGACGAGATAAAAGTGTTTTAAAGTTGTCCCGACTCCGATGGAAGTATTTTGCGAAAGGAAAATAATCAATATCAGTTTGGATTTCTTTTTTTGCCTCCCACTCCACCCTCTTTTTGCATATTATTGCGAGAATAACGATTTTCACAATACGAAGGAGTGGCCATTCGCTAAACAAACAAATTTCGAAAAGACGAGATAAAAGTGTTTAAAGTTGTCCCGACCCTCGAATGGAAGTATTTTGCGAAAAGAAAATAACAATTATCGGTTTTGATTTCTTTTTGCCTCCCACTCCACCCTCTTTTGCATATTATTGCGAGAATAACGATTTTCAGAATACGAAGGAGTCCATTCGCTAAACAAAACAAATTTGAAAAGACGAGATAAAACTATTTAAAAGTTGTCCCGACCTGGAGTATTTTGCGAAAAGAAAATAACAATTATCAGTTTTGATTTCTTTTTTTGCCTCCCACTACACCCTCTTTTGCATATTATTGCTAAAATAACGATTTTCAGAATACGAAGGAGTGGCCATTCGCTAAACAAAACATATTTTGAAAAGACGAGATAAAAACTATTTAAAGTTGTCCGACCTTGGAGTATTTTGCGAAAAGAAAAAAACAATTATCAGTTTTGATTTCTTTTTTTGGGCCTCCCACTACACCCTCTTTTGCATATTATTGCTAAATAACGATTTTCAGAATACGAAGGAGTGACCACTTGCTAAAACAAAACATCTTTGAAAAGACGAGATAAAAACTATTGAAATTGTCCCACCCTCCGAATGGAAGTAATTTTGCGAAAAAAAATACAAATTATCAGTTTTGATTTCTTTTTTTGCCTCCCACTCACCCTCTTTTGCATATTATTGCGAGAATAACGATTTCAGAATACGAAGGGTGGCCATTCGCTAAACAAAACAAATTTTGAAAAGACGAGATAAAAGTGTTTAAAGTTGTCCCGACTCCGATGGAAGTATTTTGCGAAAGAGAAATAACAATTATCGGTTTTGATTTTTTTGCCTCTCCACTCCACCTCTTTTGCATATTATTGCGAGAATAACGATTTTCAGAATACGAAGGAGTGGCCATTCGCTAAACAAAACAAATTTTGAAAAGACGAGATAAAAAACTATTTTAAAGTTGTCCCGACCCTGGAGTATTTTGCGAAAAGAAAAATAACAATTATCAGTTTTGATTTTTTTTTTTTTGCCTCCCACTACACCCTCTTTTGCATATTATTGCTTAAAATAACGATTTTCAGAATACGAAGGAGTGGTCATTCGCTAAACAAACCTATATTTGAAAGACGAGATAAAAGTGTTTTAAAGTTGTCCCGACTCGAATGGAGATATTTTGCGAAAGGAAAATAATAACTATCAGTTTTGATTTCTTTTTTTGCCTCCCACTCACCCTCTTTTTGATATATTTGCGAGAATAACGATTTTCAGAATACGAAGGAGTGGCCATTCGCTAAACAAAACAAATTTTGAACAAACGAGATAAAAGTGTTAAAGTTGTCCGACTCCGAATGGAAGTATTTTGCGAAAAGAAAATAACAATTATCGTTTTGATTTCTTTTTGCCTCCCACTCCACCCTCTTTTTGCATATTATTGCGAGAATAACGATTTTCAGAATACGAAGGAGTGGCATTCGCTAAACAAAACAAATTTTGAAAAGACGAGATAAAAACTATTTTAAAGTTGTCCCGACCCTGGAGTATTTTGCGAAAAGAAAAAACCAATTATCAGTTTTGATTTCTTTTTTTTGCCTCCCACTACACCCTCTTTTGCATATTATTGCTAAAATAACGATTTTCAGAATACGAAGGAGTGGCCATTCGCTAAAAAAACATATTTTGAAAAGACGAGATAAAACTATTTTAAAGTTGTCCCGACCCTGGAGTATTTTGCGAAAGAAAATAACAATTATCAGTTTTGATTTCTTTTTTTTGCCTCCCACTACACCCTCTTTTGGCATATTATTGCTAAATAACGATTTTCAGAATACGAAGGAGTGACCTTGCTAAACAAACATCTTTCAAAAGACGACGAATAAAAACTATTGAAAGTTGTCCGACCCCGAATGGAAGTATTTTGCGAAAAGAAAAATAACAATTATCAGTTTTGATTTCTTTTTTGCCTCCCACTCCACCTCTTTTGCATATTATTGCGAGAATAACGATTTTCAGAATACGAAGGGTGGCCATTCGCGTAAACAAAACAAATTTTGAAAAGACGAGATAAAAGGTTAAATTGTCCCGACTCCGAATGGAAGTATTTTGCGAAAAGAAAAATAACAATTATCGGTTTTGATTTCTTTTGGCCTCCACCTCCACCTCTTTTTGCATATTATTGCGAGAATAACGATTTTCAGATACGAAGGAGTGGCCATTCGCTAAACAAACATTTTGAAAAGACGAGNTAAAAACATTTAAAGTTGTCCGACCCTGGAGTATTTTGCGAAAGAAAAATAACAATTATCAGTTTTGATTCTTTTTTTGCCTCCCACTCCACCCTCTTTTTGCATATTATTGCGAGAATAACGATTTTCAGAATACGAAGGAGTGGCCATTCGCTAAACAAAACAAATTTTGAAAAGACGAGATAAAAGTGTTTAAAGTTGTCCCGACTCCGAATGGAAGTATTTTGCGAAAAGAGAAATAACAATTATCGGTTTTGATTTCTTTTTGCCTCCCACTCCACCCTCTTTTTGCATATTATTGCGAGAATAACGATTTTCAGAATACGAAGGAGTGGCCATTCGCTAAACAAAACAAATTTTGAAAAGACGAGATAAAAACTATTTTAAAGTTGTCCCGACCCTGGAGTATTTTGCGAAAAGAAAAATAACAATTATCAGTTTTGATTTCTTTTTTTTTGCCTCCCACTACACCCTCTTTTGCATATTATTGCGAGAATAACGATTTTCAGAATACGAAGGAGTGGCCATTCGCGAAACAAAACAAATTTTGAAAAGACGAGATAAAAGTGTTTAAAGTTGTCCCGACTCCGAATGGAAGTATTTTGCGAAAAGAAAAATAACAATTATCGGTTTTGATTTCTTTTTGCCTCCCACTCCACCCTCTTTTTGCATATTATTGCGAGAAATAACGATTTTCAGAATAAGAAGGAGTGACCACTTGCTAAACAAAACATATTAGCCCTGAGAAGCATGGTCAAATCAAAAACGTCAATCTTGGTCGCTGGATTTTATCCTTATGGAGTATGCTATAAACAGTTTCAAAATGCTCGCCTTGGTATTCATACCATCAACATAGCCTTGAGCCCAAAGCCATGTTGATGGTATAAGTACTGAAGTACATGGTGTTGAAGAAAGAAGCTGGTCTTTTTCAAAATTTCAAGTTTTGGCTTTCTAAATGAAAGTATAGCAAATGACCGATCATTTCACAAGTACCTGAGGCCTACGTTCTTCACAAAAGAAGGGAACCACCTTGAACGAACCTGCATGTACTTTGAATGCCCGCACTGCTTAGCTCCTACTGATATTTGCTCTTTCGATTAATTGAAGGGACAGGTTACGGTTTCCGACAAACAAGAATATCATACGTAGACTTCAATATTTGGTGGTCGCATAGGAGGTGATTCTGATCAATTTACCAAAGGCGAAGTTAGGATTTCATCAGAGTTAGCCAGAGAAGGAAGCTGCTATTTTGGCAGTTTATGTGGTTTCACAGACTATCATCTGGCCCCTGCCAACGACATCGTTACCGATAAGAGACTTTGAAGGGGCAGGTCATGTTAATCGACAGACAAGAATACAATTTTAAAAGTCTCTAGCTCAAAGTGTTGGAATCGTGGGGCGGTGTTCGTCCAGCTGGTGCTGGTTGAACTTTGGGGTTGGAATCCTAAAGTCCCCGAACAGTCCGACGTATTCCGCGGTGTCGTGAACAGCCGTAGGTGCTATATAACTGTCATTCAATTACATAGCAGAACACTCTTCGCAATTAACCTTTTATGAAACAATATGTGAAATTACTGGACGGCAAAGAACCAAAGAATATGAGCCTGAGTCTACGCTACTAGATCCTGACACCAACCAAGCAAAGGGAAAGGGTATTATCCACAATTCTCCTGCAATCTAGGATGTTCGACAACTCCTTACACTGGAGACGTCCAACCATCCTCTACCTTTTTCAAACCGAAGGAAGCGACCATCGCGCTAAACCACGCCTAGGCCAACGTGCATCCGTACCGTATCGTACGCACTACTGCACTTCCACTTTCCACGCAGGGAAAGATCCGCTCCTCACCGTGTGAGGAGAACGAAGCTCGCATCGTCGCGACACTTCCCTTGAGCCAGGGGAGCCCTCTACCACGTAGAGTCCATCACCAACTCGTCCGTGACGACGATGGGAAACATTCTGGGAGAGACCGATCTGTCCACCTTCCGTGAGCTCGGCAAAACTCCAGACTGACTGATCAGCTGGATCAGCCAACGGATCGACAGTAGATGGGGGCGTAGCATCAATTTGTGGTCTCGGGAGAGAACCACAAGTACCTAAGGATACGCCTAGGGATATCACCAGATGCATCCAATTTTACGGCCTGTCCTTAGGTACTTTCATCATTGCCACGGCCCTATCTCAATCCGAGATGTTACACATAAGTTATTCTAACTTAAAACATTGGACCGAGTTCCAATTACCCATATACAACATGGGACTCCTCACAGAATCAAGCGTTTCCAACGCTTTACATAAAAAAAATCTGGCAGATGTTCTATGCATGTCGGACCGACCATGCCTACTACCCAGAAAAGACGATTACATTCGAAACATGTGAAGACTAGGAAGAAACCGTTACAAAAGGATACAAAATCTACTATAGGAACCAAATCATTATTACAAATTTCAAATTATGGCTGACAACACTAGCAAATAAGATCTTATAGTGTCCTCGGAGACACACTGCTCGTTGGTTTTGTTCGTCGAAACCATCGCCCATCTCTCTTCAAGTTGTGCCGTATAAATGACCACGGAAATCCATCGCTAGTTCGACCGTATTTATAGTCTCGTCAAAATCTCCACACTTGCGGGAGAGAAATGCTACCTGTCCATAGAGGCATCCTTACATAGGAAATCTCGACGTATTTAGACTCAACGACTCAACCCTCCATCCTACTATATATAATCCGCTATGTTTGTCTGTTGGTGTGTGTGTGGGTGTGTGTGGGTGTGTGTATGTGGGTGTGTGTGGGTGTGAAGGTCTGTCTGTGTGTTTGACCGGAAATTCATAACTTCCTTCAAAACAGTGATAATGCGTTCAAACTGATAGATGATGTAGGAGGTCGGGCAGGAACATTATTGGTGGATGGCAGGAACCGATAGCATTGATAAGATAACATAAGGACCGCTAATCTGTCCTATTTCCAACGGATGGATGAGTGTATCTCTTAAAAATGTGATAAGCACCAGACATTAGCAAACGTTCATTAAATAGAGAGAAACACAATGTAAGGCTGTTTCCAAAAAAAATTGTTATCGGGCGA